GAAGACTTGCCTATTAAAAGGCAGGAGAAAGGTTAGTTGTGGAATATTGGTGTCTGGTTTTAGGAATGATGATTTTCCAGTCTCTCAGATGACACAGAGTATAACTGAGAAGTTTAAGTAACTTCCCCACAGTTATTCATCAGAGACAGATGTTTCACCCTGCACGTGCAAAGCAAGTAGACAAACGTAGATGCCAGAGGAGAATTGCTGCATCTTGCTCGTCTCGCCTTTCTACTCATCTCTGGGCACCTGTTGTCATCATCATCTATCCAGTAGAGAAAAGTCTCTCCATCAGGTAAGAGCTTTCTTTTCCTCTTTGGGAGCAGTATAAATGCTTGTTCTTTGTAGGTCAATTAGAGAAAGAGCTATGTTAGTATTATTACACATAAATATTTTTATTGGCACATAAACCAATAGTGCTGCAGATCAAAAGGAAGCCTGTGCTGGTAAGCAGTATTGGCATGTGGCTGCCATAATACCTGACTATTACTGGATAGTATTGAACACAGTGCCTTTATCCTTTCTAGTATTTTTATTAGAAAATCTGGTACTGTTGTCCTGTGTCAGAAGTAAGGCTCTGAAACACTGGTGGCATTTATCTGTCCTGAGAAACAAGGCCTTGACCTGGTGGGGTCTGCCTGCTGAGATGTTTTGATACTGATCCATGCTGAGATAACAGCAAGATTGGGCTTTTCATTACATTCCTATGCCAAGACTATGGTGCCTACAAATATAGCAGGGGTGTTGGTATAGGTGAATTGCCTACAGCTATGCAAGAATATTGTGGAGGAGCCAGGAATTCAAGTGAGACCTCCTGAGCCCTGCACAGGCTCCTCCTACATCTCTTTGCTAATCTGCTTCCCATATGACTTTCTACCTTGGCATGACTAATGTTCACCACTAATGTGTGCTACCTTCTACCATTTTAGTATAATAAAATAATAATTTATGACTTAATATGGAATTTAATTTTTGTACATGTTTCAGGCACTGTAAGGGATCAAAGAACAGGCGCTGGTATGAGGGGAGCTCTGTATTTGCAGCACTCATCATGAGTTATGAGTCCCTCAAACTTGTTGGTTTTGCCCATATCAAGGAACAAGATGATGTTATCTGGGACTCTAGAATGAATCCTAGCCCCCGAAGTGGGAAATAAAGCAACATACAACAACTTTTTAAAAGTTGAAACTAACTCCTTTGACTCATTTGGAAAAGAGTTGGAACAGGAACAGCTGTCTGTGCTGGCAGCGTCAGGGGATTACAGTGCAGCAATTGTGCCTGCTTTTCTCCCCCAAAGTCTGATTCTTGCTTCTGAGGTTTTGTGTGATTAGAGAAGAGAAATGCCACAATTACCTTCTTTGTTTGTCCACTATATTAAACACTTTAAAAAACAAGGAGAATAAGATCAGAGAAAGTGATCTGATCCTTTTGGACATCTGTAACTATTGGGAATAGTGGTGTTTGAGAGTCCTGTCTAGTGAATGCTTCAGATAGCCTTGTGGTGATGTATGCAGCTGGTAGGAAGAACTGAGGAGACACAGAAAGCATTGTATTAGAACTTGTGCACTTGTGTTCCCAAACCAACATCTCTCTTGCCCAAACTCTATTATATTTAACAGAGTAAAAAAAGGTTATTTTACTTCATTTTGAAAAATAAAGCAAGCATCTTCCTCTGCCCTAACAAGGACTAGTCATCCAAAATGAAAGCATGAGGATATTGGACTGAGATTATGCCAAAAAAACTTCATTTTTTTGCAATACATTCAAGCCTGTGTATAACTAAAAACTAAGAGAACCTGTGCCCTTCCAATGCACTAATGCTGTCTAAAGGAGTATTCCCTTCCCCTACTCTCCAAACAAATACTATTGGGCCATAAATACATGCCTGTGCAAGCTCAGGGCTGTAACATCACATCTGCTTTAGAGAGCGATGCTCCCAGGGCTTTCCGTACCCACAGGACCACTGCACGCTTTTTTGGGACTCTGGGCAAGTAACAGATTTAAACTCTGACTGAACATTGCTGCAAAGGCCATTGTACTGTTCTCCCCATCCCTGACCACCCACTCTGTGCTTTGGGTTTTGTAGGGGAGACCTGCTCTCACGACCTCTGAACACTGTCCCCGTCTCCAGCAGGGCTGGGGGCAGGCAACCTTCACAGGGCAATAACTGCTTTAAAATTAACACATCTCTTTGCACTTGCTGCAATTATTTAAAAACCCCCTTGTCAAATGACCCACGTTAAGCCAAAGAGCATATTGCTAGGGGTGTGCTAACAGCACCAGTGCACTAAACCACAACTGACAGCCTGACCCAGTGCTGTGCTTTAAAAGGGCAGGGCCACAGCATTCGAGTTGGAATTCTGCTTTAATTAGGCCATTACCTGACCTTCAAAGCTGTATTTTCTTCCTCCTCTGCATGCTATGCTGGAGGAAAGGCTGCTGGAGAAGACAGGAAGAGCCCTATCTGATCGTTATCAGGAACGGATGAAAGCCATGCATTGCCTTTTCCTTTTGACGTGTGCAATTAGTTTGGCTTGTGTGGAAGAAGCATGTCAAGGTAAATGGCCATCTCTGTCTTTCCCTTTGCTGATCCCTGGCAAGGTCCATCATGCAAAAAGCTATTCAATCACTTGTTGACAGTGGTATCCCTCTCATAAAACCTGATTATACACCACTGTGAGGTACCTTTGCCCAGTGGTGACCTGACAGTACCATGGGCTGTTTTACAGGCTGAGTGCACTCCAGCTCTCCTCATAAAACTTTATTTGAACCTGTTTGTTTCTACATCTCTTTGCCCCCCTCCCCCTCACCTTCAAAATAAGTTTTCCCCTTTTTATGGGGATAGAAGAATCTTTATGTCCAGGGCATGTGACATCTGTGGTGCTCACCAGGAGCACTCTACCATTGCACTCGCTTCCGAGCAATCCCATCCTTGCCAACCCAGCAGAGTCTCACAGCTCTGCTACCTCCTTTGGCCTCCTTGTTGTAGGTGTCATGTGTCTTCTGTGTTTGCCCTGACTTCTCCATCTTCTCAGGCAGGGATCTGTGCTAATACACTTACCTTCAGGAAACCAGTGAAGTCAGTTCCTGCCTGGAACTGGCTGCCACCAACTCTCAGCAGACACAGGCGACAGACCCTCTGTGGCTGCATGTTGCAGATGACTCTTATGGAAGGCAAAAGACCCTCAAAAGGTGGAGATTTTTTACATAAATAGACATAAGAATTTATTTTCTAGATTTAATTAATGCTCTGCTTATGAGAAACAAAGCCCAAAGCAAAGAAATCCAATGTAAGTGCTGAGAGAGAGTTTACTTTTAATTCACGTTTTAGGCCAGTGCCAACCACGTTGCTGATGGGTTATGCCAAGGAAAGGCATTAAGCTCACTCCATAGCTCAGAAGCGTGTGCGTGCACCCTTCCACCACTGCTGATGTGGTGGCCCCTTGCTGTGCCCAGCATGAGCCATGGTCACAAGTCTCCGGTCATACCCTTCATCTCCCTGCAGATTTCCTGTGTGGCCGCGGGAAAGTAATTTTGAACTCGTGCTATCTCCTTTGCTTTGACCAGAAGTGCTGCTAATCCTTTTCCTTCTTGTGAAGTTGACTGTGCATGAACACCGACAGAGTGGTGGGCCAGTGGCTGCCAGAGCAATGTCTGTCCCAGGACTGGGGGGATGGTTGTATCTGTACCCATTTGGGTGCTCTACCTCAGCAGAGGGTGAAGGTGGTGCTCCCCAGTGTCACTTGGACAGAGTGGACAATGTTTGAGGGAAGGGTTTGCAAAAAGCTTCTTTCTTTAGTCACAGACACTTTGTTTTCTTCTCTTAGCAATATTTGAAGGTGTCATGCACCACCACAGAAGGGTGATGGAGTAGCAGTTGAGTCCATTAGGGGACAGAAATTAGATAATGCGTTACAAAAGGAGGGATATTCAGAGATGAGAGAATGGAAACAGCACTGAATTTTTACAGTGCTATTATACAGTTAAAAAAAGTACTCAGCTCTGGTTTATAAAGAAGACAACTGAGGCATGGCAAGATCCAGTGGCTTCCCCAAAGTCAGACCGGAAGTTTTTTTCTTGGCACTAACATATGGAATGATCTGGCCAACAAATGACTGAAGTCTTCTGCTGCCAGAGGGCCCTGTAGTACGGTGTCTTGAGTGAGACAAGGCCCTGGCCTCGCCCGCTCAAACCCCGCTCTGCAAACAGGGAATTAGAGCTGGCTGCCCAAGGCCAGGGCAGTGGCAGGACCTCTGCCCATGCTGAGCTGCTGTGGGATCTCGGCAGGTATGGGAAGCGGAGGCTGTGGACACCAGGTGCTGCCAGCACTGGGGCTGCGTGGGGGCTGCTCGCTGTCCCCTTGCCCTTGTTAGGAGGTGGCAGTTGCACAGTTGCAGTGACATGGCTGGTAATCAGAAAGATCATTTGTGCTTTTTATCACTCTGTCACCAAAGGGCCTCGTCTTCAATCGGATGGTGTTCCGAGCTGGATCTGGGGGCAGATAAACCATTAGCTGGAGAGTTCAGCCTTGGTCAGGCTTTGAAGTGATGGAATCACCATCCCTGGAAATATTATGTGGCACGTGTAGATGTGACACTTGAGGATAGGGTTGAGTGGTGGCTCTGGCAGTGTTAGGCTACTGGTTGGATGATCTTAGAGGTCTTTTCCAACTTTGAAGATTCTGTTATTGTACGGACCACTGGCGAGAGGCAGCCACGGGGCTGGGGGACTCGGCAGGGACACTCTCCCTGCTCCTGCCCCGCGCCCGTGCCCTGCCCTGCTACCTTCTACCCTTCCCTCTACCCTTCGCTCCTGGGGGCAGACCGAAGCGCTAAGGAAACGAACAGCCCAGTGTTGGTCGTTTCTTTAGCGGCTTTAGCCCTGCACAGAGCGCACTTCGCGGCGGGGCGGCGGGGCCGTGAGGGCCCGGGCCGGGCGCACCGCCTGCGGAGCGGGCCGAGCCGCCACGAGATGGCGCACGAGGAGCGGCCAGGCCGCCCCTCAGCCCCGCGGCCGCCCCTTCAGCCCCGGCGGGCACCGGCGGCAGCTCCCGCCGCCCCCAGGACGGCCCTCATTTTGCCTTCCCAGGCTTGGCCCTCATTTGCAGTAAGGTGGCTTTTTTGGTGGCTAATTTTAGTGCTAAATTGAGCCTAATTATTATAGTTTAATGAAGGGGCTACTTTAAGTTAAATAATGACCCTGGCATTGTATTTATATGAATGAAAAATTAACCTTAAAAGGTTGTCCTTCTCAGAAAATGGATTGCATGCTCGGCTCTCTCTATTGATTAGTTTAGGTATTTAAAGTGCTGCATTTTATCTCTCCAGCCTCCTGGTGAATTTGTCATGATGATACTTAAAGGAGAAAATTGACGTTGTTTATTTTCACAAACCTTTTTGGCATATTTCTGGGCTTCTTATTGCACCTTTGAGCTATATAGTGTTGTATGAAGGAACAGTGATAACCCTTCTGCTTAAATAAGCGTGACAGTCTAACATCTCTGTTCAGCTGAAATGCCACTGAAAGGGATGCTGCAGTGCGAAATGTGTATTACATTGCAGCTGATGGAGTGGGGTGAGCAATCCTGCAGAGGTTTTCAAGAGGACTAGAGTCTTCCCATATTAAATGACTGATGGGAGGGTTTGTCAGAATTTCTGTTTGCTCCAAAAATTGGAGTTCATTTCTCCTTGGAGCTGCCAGACAACGGGAGCCATCCTAATAATTGCAAAATACTTCAAGACTGGGTAGTGTTAGAGATTTTGAATGTGACATGTGCAACTAAGCAAAAAGACACAGGACACATATGTGTGTTTCTGTATTATAGGGGGAAATAATAGGATGATGTAAAGTTTATAAGTTAAATATGGCATCTGGTTTTCCTACAGAAGTTTTAAACATTTTTAGATTTACTCCAAAAGGTATGGGGGAATGGGGGGAAATGTTATGCTGTGATGCTCAAAATCACTCCCCTGTGTGCTGGGAGGTGTTGTGGCTCAGTGTCTGTCTGCCACAGGATGACCCCCCCCTTGGTGCCTCCCATAGTGGGACAGGGAGCATGGGTGTGGGTGCCCCATGTTGGGGAGCAGGAGGTTTGCAGGCACCTGTGGTGAGCCACAGCAGCACCAGTCCTGATGCTGGGCCAGGGCTGAGCCACCTCCATGGGGCTGCACTGCCCAGCATGTATGAGGGGCAGCCAGCCCCTCCCAGGCGGCTGTATCCACAGCTCTCAGTCTCTGGCCTGCTCCTTCAGTTATCCCCTCTGGTTTCTCACGTTTACAGATCTGCTTCTGGTCTCTGAGTGAGCAATTGCCACCCCTTTCCTAACCCCATATCCCGGCTGGTGGTAGGAATATGCACGCCTCTTGAATTCCCCAAACAAAATAGAAAGTCTTGGGTTTAGCTGAAAAGAACAGCGAATTCTGCTTGCAATCTGTAATGCAATTAGCGTTATTTGACTTGGCAGCCGTCGGAGGGCCTGCGTGGGCTGCAGGCAGTGAGGGCCCAGAGTTGGCCTCCATCTAGGAAGAGGACTTTGGAGGAACTCTCAGTAATTTTTACATCTGAAGTCTCTCAGTGGTTTCTCTCCCCCATCTCCTCTTCCCTCCACCCTCGGCATTCAGATGCTGCAGCCGGTCCTTTTTCCCAGCTGGGAAGGGGCGAAGTCGGCTGGTGCTCCAAGCCCAGTATCTGCGCGCCGCATGCGCGGATACTGCGTCCCCCGCCCGGCCAAAGGAAAATAATTCTGGGTCAGAACTCACTGAGCCATCTGTGTTTCTGAGGCTAAATTATTTCTTACAAAGGAAATAGCATTAGGTTGGTGTATCTGGCTGCTAATTGCTTTAACTGGCTGAAAAGATTTCAGTCTGTTCCTGAACTGTTTGTGCAAACTTAACAGAATAGTGTTACCTTCAGATCCTGCCCCAGCCACAGCCAGAACATATAAACAAGTCTTTTGGTACGAAAAGCAGCACAAAGTTTCAAGCTATGCTAGCAGAGGTTATGAGAGACAGGAAGTTATGGGCAAATTGATTTCACCACTGGGAAACTAGGGATTTTCCCCCCCCCAAGTAATGACTGTAAAGCATTCTAATGCTATTCAACATTAGTGCATTAAAGTGTGGCCTTATTAATTCAAGACATAAAGGCAACAAAATAAGCTGTTAAATTTAAAATATAATACATATATAATGAGAAAAAATGTGTGAAAGCTTTATTCAAATGAAAATGCAGAATTGTTTGAGCTAGTGAAGTATCTTTTGTGCTGTGAGCATATGTAATAGATTTAATTATTAATTTCTCCATTGTTCTATGCACACAGACAGGGTTCAAGGCACAGTCATTCTCTGGCTTTCATGGATCTAATTTGTATAATTATTGTCTGAATAAAGAACTGCTCTGATTCCTAGCTCACTTTTTCCCTCTCCTAAGGACTACCTCTGCTGGTTTCCAAAAGAAGAGCACCTGCCAATTCTTCAGGAATCAGCTGATCACTTCCAGTGATGACACACACTCCCAATGATGTTCCTTTTCAAGCCTCTTTGTCTAAATGAACATTGTGCATACTTTTTAATTTTATTGAACAAATTACATTTGTCAGGGTCTAGCTTTGTAAATAAATAGCTAGAGACACATGGATGCACATTGCTGCTGTTCAAGGTCTCCTGTTCTATTTATGGAAGCCAGATGAATGTGAAACAAAAGAGAAACTTTTCTCTAAAACCAATTATCTTTCTGCATTCCCATCAGTATAATTATATTGCAGGGAATTTTAAGAAGTCATACAAGTAGAATTGAATACTTAAAATCATGGCTAGATAGTTATGCAAAAGCTGAGTGGAGCATCTTGCCTTCTGCTAACAAAATACACTGTGGCTGGCTGTTCTCTTCATGCCTTCACACCTGACATGTATGTGTGTATTCATCATAAAATAAGATGATAAAATAAGCTGATATCCATGATATACATATGAAAAGTATTTCTGACAATAAGTACTGAATTCCTCTCAATTTTGAAGTATTAATATTAGTGGGTTGAATTATTTTGTGACTTAGGCATTTAAAAAGTCATGGCCCTGCTATGTGAGCATCTTTAATGATAAATGTTTTCTTTGACTTTGGAGACACATTGTGTTATTAAAACAGGGCATCATCTTTTTTTGTGGAAAGGTCTTCCCAGATGGTAAAAGGAACAATGCCCAAGAACACGTGGCAAGGTTCAGATGCGTTGGTAGGGGTGTCTGGTAAAAATCATTATGTTGACCTTGCTTAGAGATAAACTTTTTAGGAAGCTGCAGTACTGGCACATGGTTTCTAAAAAGTCACATCATTCTGGGTGGAGGAGTAGAGGAAATTTGCCAGGAGAGTACTTTTTTTTTTCCATTATCTCATCAAATTTTGAGAAATTTTCTTGAAAATGTAGTTGTCTTTTCCCCTTAATTTATTGAAAAGATGTTGTCAGACCACCAAAATAAAAATTAACGGGGATGTTCCACAGGTGCTTTTACATTCCTGTCAGAGCAGAAAGCTCAGCAAGAACAGCAACAGGTGTAGCTCTTGAGGAGAAGCAAGACCAGGCCCAGCTGAAAGCCTTCTTCCAAAGCAAAGGAAAGGGGTCCTGTAGCAGGGATCTGCTACACAACAGTTTATCTGCCACCTACTGCCTTCCTTTGCAGGGATGTGCTATGGAAAGGTGAGAACATGATAGTGCAATTAAAAACCATTAAACAGTCCTTTTATGAGGAAGTGAAATAAAAGTGGCATGGGATAAATATATGATATTTCCAGATTTGAATGTGTAATCTGTATGTTTAAGTGTATATTTGCATTTAATACTAGAAGTAGTGAGATGGTGGGGCATTGGTGGGGCACTGGCTACCATCGTGGGGATTGGTTACCTGCTGTATCCAGGGTTGCTGGTTTTTTCCTTTGCTCTACCACCCCTTTTTCCCCTCTTCTAGCTTTTTTTATATCAAACAGAACCATGGAAATTAAACATTTAAAACCCAACTCTGAAGAAATTATATATTTAGCCTGACCTTGGCAAACAACTTTAGCAAGTCAGGAAACATTGGTAGCTGCCTGTGCCATGGCAAACGGCTTCACGAAGCTGCACGCTGAGAGGTGCCCATCCCACAAGGACCAGCTCTGTGCTGCACACGCACAGCAGCTCCAGCCCAATGTTTTCTTTTCTGTGAAAGCCATTTTGACTGCCATGTGTTTGCATTTATTTCCTTTCCGGCTCTCTATATGACTCATCTGCAGCAGGACGGAGGAGCCAGAGCAGAGCTGGGCTGCCCAGGAACTGCTTTCCACACTCACCAGCCCTGTTTTGGGCAGCTTTCTGGAAGGCAGTCCCATGGCGAGGAGCAGTTCACTGGGCTGCAGAATTAACTTGCTATGCTTGTGGCAGCTGGGCTCAGTGTTGCTTTGCAGGACAGGTACATGAGGGCTGTCCCCTTCCCATGCCTTGACACAAGAGACCAAGGTGCTTTTCCCTCTGTAAAGTGATGGAGGCAGCTTTTATCCACTCTGGCTTTGAACCTTGCTCTTCCCTATAGGTTACCCACTAAGCATACCACCACAGGTCTGACACTCCTAGGTTTTAGTTCAATCCAAACCTAATCTTTTCTTCTTTTTCCAGAAGTCCTGCTGGCGCCAGAGTTTTCTTGTGTTCAGCCATGGGCAGGGTTACAGTAAATGGTTTCCTCTCGCTTCCTTCTGGGATCCTGTGCCAGGGCAGAAGGTATGTTTCCATCTGAGGATTCCTCTTGAGAAAGACTCTTACTTCATGGAGGGGTTATGCTTGAACCATGATGGTATTTTAACTGACTTTTGTTTTTTAGTAAATTCTCCTCCCCTGTCCAATAATCTGCAAATCTGTTACCAATCAGAATATGATACGTATCCTCAGCCAGTTTCAATGGGGTTTATTTCTATTACATCTGGCAGTGTGTCCAGCAGCGGAGAAAAAAAACTCGACTAGAATTAGCTGCACTGAAATCAGCTGAATTTTGGATGTGTTCAACCTTTTTGGCCAGACTTATTCCGGTTCATGAGAAGTAATTATCTCTTGAGCATCACATTAATATTAAAGATCCATAGGCATTAGCGTTTAGGCAATATACCTTCTTCCCAGTTCCAAAAAAAATTACGTGGGATAATTGATCTGAACATGCTCCAAATGTACATATGTCTTTGTTTATGAATTCCAATGTGGATTGTTTGGGAGGATAAGTCGAAATAAGGAAAAGCAGGCAAAGATATTGAGACCTCTTCATCTCCCTGGCCATTTCAGCTAGGAATAGTTATAATCTCCTGAAAATGAGATGTGAAAGCTAACAGCATGTTAATAGCGTATGTTACAAACACTAAATCCCTTCAACTGGTATTTCTGATTTACACTTTTCTCTGTTCCTTAGATCAGGGAGTTCATGGTAGATGCAGTTTGTGTCTGCCTGCAGCCAGGCCAGTCACTGGAGAGCCAGGTTTGGGCACTAATGGTGCTTCTTCCTAAGGATGACATGAAATTGCACCACAGCTTCTGCCTACTGAAGGAAAAATTCACCTTGAAGCACCCAAAATACTGTCTCCTGTGAGATATCCCTTGGCTGACGTGCCTCCAGCCCCAGACAAGGAGGTGATGATGGCTGTGCTGTGTCCCAGGACGTGGTGGCTGTACACATAGGAAACCACAGCCTTGGGTGTTCAGGTGTTGCTCGCAGACCAAGTGTGGCTGGGCCCTGCGAGGAGGGCAGTGCTGCAGGCTGAGGGCTGGGCTCAAGCCACTGGGCACCCCCATGCTGACACAGTCCCCTACCTACCCTTGTGTCTGTGACACTTATATCTGTGCCTAGGTGTGCTTGTGGGTACGCAGGTGGTATTGCATTGCTCATTCTTCCACTGGCAGAAAATTCACTTACTCCACTTCGGCCAGCAATGTCATTACATTAAATAGAAGAGGAACCTCTCCTTTACTGAATTCTTTATTGTGTTCAGCTTTGGTCAGTAGGGGAAAATAAGTCTATAAAAGTGCCACTAGCTTGTTTCAGCTTTTGCACGTGCGCCCTCCTCGTTTTCACGCCCTGGAGAGGGGTGTCAGACACAGCCTGCCTGCCCAAGCAGTCATGGACTGGCCCAATTTCCTGCGGAGTGCAGCGAAGGCCACAGATATCAACTTCAAAGGTAAACAATTACCTTTTATTATCACACATGGCTTTAGCTCTACCAGTTTCAAATAGCACATAATCACAAGTCTGTGATAACATTTACTCCTGATGAGAGAAAATTCACCAAGTACTAAATTGCTGCTGAGATGACGGGAACATGAGCCAGGCACGAATTAACTCGGATGATGAGTCAGCAGACGTTAATGTGTTGCACCATGCTGGAGACATCTGCTGAGCCGTCCACTGTTGAATCATCTTAAATATTTCTGTGTTACTACCCCTCCAGGAGCAAGCATTGGAGAACTTTTGTGTCTCTGTGTTATATATGCATAAACTATTTTAAAATAAATATATGCAGGCACATAACAAGTGTATGCATTTAGGTATGGAGGTAATTTTCAGCTACGGGAAGGATGAGCAACTAGCAACTATTTAAAGTAAAACATGCATGGAAATGCTGATAGCAATTGCCCACATTTGGTGTTTGGAAAGTGATAGCTTTGCTTAATTGTGGCTCTAATGAGCCTGGCAGGGTGACCTCATGTCTGCATCATATACCCTGAACCTTCATGCAGACCAGCTCTCAAAGTAGGAATTACAAGTTTAGTAAGGGCTCACCCCATGTTTTGGAAATTAGTCCCTCTGGAACAGCTGCTAGGTGCTGTGCTGAAGTGTATCATCACTTTGGCTTTTCCCAGTTTTTTCCCATATACCCAGGATGTCAATATGTGGTTAGATAAATGTAGTAACTAAGCACAGTCAAGAGCATCAGGTGAATTCAGTGGAGAGTTGCAAATGCCTTCTTAAATGAGATCCTTTTTCACTGAAGGCCCTGCAACTGTGCCATCATGCACTGTCCTCCTGCAGTGGATCTTCAGCAGATGCTAAAGGCAGTGGTGTATAACTGGGGTGCCGAAGGACTGTACTTTGGACAATGTAGTCATTGCACAAAGGAAGAGGCAGAGCTTTTATTTGGTAAATCCTTTGTTGCATTTAGCTTAACTCACTGCAGCAAAACAACTCAGATTGTTTTAAAGTATATTGTCTGTTCTGGCCTTAATTTAAACTTTTGCATACATAATTACCCAATTGTATGCACATGAGAACTGCAGTAATTCAGTGCACATTGTGCAAAGCTGCATTTTTTGAAACTCTGACTCTCTGAGGTCTGGAGGTCAAAAGTTAATTCTAGTGAGATGTGAGAGTTGTCCATGTTTGCCAAAAAAAATTGTTATTTTAAGCATTCTGCAGTCTGAGTGTCACCATTCCAACTTGTGTTTTTAACTCCCTGAATTTTCATATGCAACTGAAAGAACCACCACCTAACGCACCAAAAGTTTTGGAAAGCAGGGTGAGAGCAGGCATGACTATTGCAGAGGGGATGTGGGAAGCACAGGCTGACAGTGGAGCTGGTGCCCCACAGTGTGGCTGTGGGGCAGTGGGACTGGACAGCCTCATGGTGCCCATCCTCCCTCTCCTCCTCCTCGCTGCCACTGATCCCAGGCTTCACCTCTGCTCACGGCAAGCCCAAGGCTGACTGCCATCTGATGGAGGTGCTTGGAGCCCTTTTCCTCCTCTTCCTGAGGCCTGAGGTAGGTGCAGGTGCCTGCTGGTCCCCACTCATGGGCCTGAGGACCTCAGGGCTTCTGAACTGATTCAATGCTAGATGCTTAAAATAGCTCTAAGCAAATGACAAAAACATCGCCTTCACACTGGGTTTTGCACTCGCATACTACTTTCTCCAAAAATTAGCTCTAACAACTCATCTTGAGATGCCCTAAACCAACAACTCAGTATTTAATGAACATTAAGGGGGAATTAAATTAATCTAAACAGTAGCTAGGTTTCAGACTTCTCAGTAGTGGCTGCGCAAAAGTAAGGTAGTGTTTTTAGACCAAATAAGAAATCCATCCTTTGAGGACTGGTTTACAGTCCTCCAGAATTTTCCGTGAGGTTAATAATCAAGTGAAACGTTCTGGCAGGAATGATCACATTCACACTGCTGCCCAGTCATTAGAGTGGTATGTCAAGAGGTTTCAAGTAAGTCACAGTATTTTTCTTCTACTGTGGAAGACAATGCATCTCCATATTTATTTGAAAAGCTTTCTCCCATTTTCCTTTGCATGCTGAACTTCTTGGGCACAGTGCATTAACTCTTCTTGAAGTATAAAATGGAGAATGGGAGTGCCAGAACATTTTTGTCAATGGTTTCCAAAAACTATGGAATTTCCTGCCCAGCTACATCAGATCAGCCAACAACTTTGTAATTGCTAAAAACAGCCTGTTGATTTTCCTCCCAAGTGTTTCAGCTGGCCTGGCTGAGCTTTCTCTTTTCCACTGTCTTGAGATGTTTCTCTCATTGTGCGCTGTGCTGTATTTTTATGGTCGACATATCCTCTAGCAAACAATTTCAGGCTGATGGCGGAAGAGAGATTGGATTCAGGTTAGAGATTTGAGCCTGGGACAGGGAGCCAGGAATGCTTCAGTTCCTGAATCAGATCTGCCACTAAATCAGGAATCCACATAAAGCAAAGCCACATGATGAGCAATTGTATGATGATTTGATTTTCTGTGCGGAGGAGGAAGTGAGGGTTTGAATGCGGTTCTCTCCTTGGCATGCCCCCTGCAACCGAAGCCATGGCTACAGGTGGGCCATGAGTGGGGAGCCTGGAGCAGGTTCCTTCCAAGGGGAGGCTGAGATTGGTGAGCCTGCTGTCTAAATGGGGACTAGAAGTTTTTGCCAGATATCTCAGTGGTAAATGCAAATAAATTAGTTATGTACGCCTGTATGAAATTTTCCCGCTGAAAAATTCATTCTATAAAAGCATTTATACTGTATTCTTTATTGTCAGCTAATCCAGCCCAAACTCATTAAATGGCAGTGTGTGGGTTACTCGCTGTCAGTGAAATTATCAAAGGCATTTTTCAGCTGGTGCACTGGGAAAGCATGTGCTTCAATGCCAACTAAAACAATAACGAGGAAATGTTATGATCAGACTTGACCAAATGACCTTTCCCATTTTAGATTAGTTCTTAATTTCAGCACAAGGGTCATCCTGTGAGAATAGTTACAATAAGTCACTGCTCACCTCTCACATGAAAAAGAAGTGACTTATTAGAAATCTCACTGTACTCATTGCAGTTAATGAGATGTGGAAAGCTTTATAATTTGATTTGCTGGACCATATGCTGTAAAGGGATACTGCTGATTTCATTCCTCCACATTTAATTTAAGCAGTATGCAATGGCTTCTTCGTATGGCTACTTATATAATAAAAATTAACTTGGAGGATAAAAAAAATACACCATTGTGAGGTTTATTACTCTATGTGGTTGAGTTTCAAGTGTTTTTCATTGAAACATCTGTAAGTAATGTGTAGGTCTAATTTTAAATCCTGGCAAATATTTTCCATTTAACGTTTGGTTTTACTGACAGGCTTGGAGCGGTGGTTTTCAGAGCTTGTCAGTAACAGATACGCATTTTCAAAGATAAACGTTTTTTTAATTGAAGATAACTGTAACTCAATACCTGCTTTTCCTATCCCTCTTGTATTTTAGCAGTTGCAAGCAGCAACACAGACACTCGTCTCCTCTCCCTCGGACCCCAGCCGTGGCAGCAGCACTGTGGTGGTGTGGGCTGTCCCTCGCGGGGACATGGGGAGCCATGTAGGGCCGCACTGCACCCAGAGAGTGAGCACGGCCCTGGGCTCGCAAATCCGAGGGAACAGTCGTGAATTCACGGAGACTGTCTCCTTCAGAGGTGTCCCCCCAGCTATTTTGCAGGAGCCATTACCTCTGGAGGGTGGATTTGGGCCTCAACCCCAGGCGGGGCTTGACCGCCCTCTGCGACTCAGCAGCACACACCCCGCTCTCAGGGCCAAGCGCACTCGCTTGCACGGCAGCGGCTCACCATCACGGCTTTATTTCAGGTTATTTGATTTTCGGCTGCAGACAAAATGAAACAGCTCAAACAGGCAGGCTGGCTGCACGGCCCATAAAAGTGGAAACCGCGCTGGCTTGTCAGCGCGCGTCGCCTGGCCTGGCTGGGGCTTGTGCGCTCTGGGTGCTTCGTGTGAGAGCCAGAGCCGTGGCTGGGCTAAAGGCAGTGGTGGAAATACCCAGTGTGAGGCAATGAAAGGTCAGTTTGGAAGTCAAATATTAAGATAATTTTCAAAAAGAAGTCCTGAAAGGCTAGAAGTATAGGAGAGTCACTGGTTTCACCTGAAAGAAATGCCACAGCATTATTTGCAGTTAATGCCATGGTGTCCACAAGCTCTAAATACAAAGATCATGTGTTTTAATCTAACATGTTGGTTAAATTTGAGATCAGGCCAAGAAGTCTTGTGAAGTTTCTGCCCATGTGGGACTGTGCTGAGGGAGACTGTGGCCCTGTGGTGCAGCAGGGCTGCAGCAGCTACTAAAACACCATTTTGTGAGGTGCTTGGTAGAGGGATGGTGCTTATCTGTGTCCCACTTACTCTGTCACTCCCTCCCTCTACTCTTTACTCACCACGAATTTCATCACCATGAATTTTACAAACAAGTTTAATCCTGCTTTCAGTGAAAAAAAATAATAGTACATTATTTCCCTCAGACCTGCACTGTCGTCTTATTGAACCCTGAACTACAGCAGCAGCAAATGGGGTTTTGGCACAGGGGGTTAGCCATGGAGAGGGTCCGTGGATATGGGGTGCCAGAGGGAAGCCGGCGAGGAGCACTGCAGCAGCCAACAGGAGCACAGGGACTTCTGTGCTCCTGCAGCCCTGCGCTGAGCCTCCAAGAAAGAGTGTCAGCATTACCTAATTTAATGGCTTTTCATTTAGAGAAACAAACATGTCTTTGCTACCAAAGACAGTCCATTTAATTTCATTTGGAAACTGCCTCTAAAATGCTTTGCGATGGTCTGTGGTGTGGGTTCAGCAGCTGAACTAAAGGTGTGGGCTTGAGCCAGCCCTCTGTGCTTCTTGGGTCTGAGTCTCTTTGGTGGCAACCCTCCCAGGGATCAAATCCAGGCCCTTCGAGTGTTGACCTCTGGACTAAAAAAATAATCACAAAAACAGGTTTCATTTTTAACACGTCCCTGTTTTCTTTCATCAGAAGTTTTGAAATGCTTCTGAGGAGGTTGGTGATAGCCATAACCTCAGCCACAGTGATTTCCCATAAACATTGAGAGAAACTGCAGCTTTACTGAATATAGCGTCTGTTTTAAATGGCTGGTGGTTCACTTGTTTTTAATATGAGTACAAGCACAGAGGCAAGTAAAATCTAATGAAAGTACTTAGAAGATTTTGTTTGGATACCCCTCAGCAGCCGTGGTTTATACAGAAGGGGGAAAAGATTTCTTTATAGCCACGCCTGCAGAAGCCAGAAATTCAATTTTGCTCCACAACTTATTTTATTGCATTTTTAATTTTCTCTTGCATTACCCTGACCCTTTTCTATAGCTTTTGACGCCTGGTGCTTAATTACTTATCATTAGCAATGTACAGGGGGGCCTTCCTGCATATTTATAAATGTGATCATTAGTACATGGGAAGACAAAGACTTCTTTAAGACCGTCATTAGTTATTCTGTTTTCATAGAAATGTTCATTAGAGAAACTACCCACCTGGTTAAATAATTATAATTAAGAATTGGTAATCTCCTTTGCATTTTTAACTTGATCTTCAGAATGTGTGTGCATAGCTAAAAGAGCCTTGTTTGGTCATCTTACTATCTTTTCTTTTTGATTTGAATTGTCAAGAAGATTTAAATGCTGTGTTTTGGAACTGTGTACCCTAAGAATGATTTATGGAAAGATAGATTATTAGAAAAAAGGAAAGAAAGAAGGAAAGAAAGAAAGAAATCAACCCTGCAATTATCTCTGAATTCATTAACTCTGCACTGGCAGAGAGAGGTTGTATAAGCCATTTACTGTAATGTGTGGTATGGAGTTAAAACAAAATGTCAGCAGAGCCTGATTTCCCTGCCCTATCTCTGGTGTTCACTGCAGACACCCAGACTGCAGAAGAACATTGCAGAAAGGTATCATTTCCATGTCACAGTATGGTATTCCTTGGAAATGCCGACAGTCAATGTGGTGGTGGCAGTAGTCCTGCTCCCAGCCATTGTGGGGAGCTGGTGGGAAACCTGTCTGAAATGTGTGTGCCTGCCTGTCTGCTGCAACCATGGGGAAGGGAGAGCGTTGCCCCACCATGGGGCACAGGGAGGGCTCAACTCTGATAAACCATGGCAATGGGAAGAGCTTGTCAGTGGCATAAATATCATCTGTAAACAATTAAGCAGCTACTGCTCATTCAGGGCAGTTTTGAAAAGCAAAGGAAGTCTGCAATCAGTTATATCTCCAATTACCATAAAAATATATTAGCCATTCATTCATTTATTAATGATTCATCAGTTAACCACACATAATGAGCAAATAATTAGCAATGCTGTATGGTTGCCAAAATTGAAGAAGTGTTGGCATTTTAAAGATGAAAGGTTGCATTTATGTAAAAAGTCGGGTGGTGATAAAGTTATTACAGAAGATAATTATAAAAGTGGCTGTCCTATTTTAGAGGCTGAGGTCCCACAAAACCTGTCTAATTGAACCAAAATTAATATTCTTCAAAAGCATGAATGTTACTGGTTACTTGCTGCTACATTTACTGGGAGATCTCCCTTCAGTAAGGTATGTCACACAATACAAGTTAATAAAATGCCAGACAGCAAGACTGTGTTCTTTGTTTGCTCGGTTCAGGGCCTTGTGGAAAACAATAAATTGCATTCATGTCAGCCGAGGCCCATCCCTTTGCTAATTACCGTTTGGTGCTGAAATGACTTCTGTGAAATTGGGAGCATGAAGAAACACACAGCCGTACAAGGGAGGCTTTTCAGGCAGCGGCAGTAAATGTGAGATAGGCCTTAGGCACACAGATGTTAAAACAGCGAATTCCCCTGCAGATTACACTAATGGAAACCCTGTCAGGGTAAGTCAAATCCAGGGTCTGTGGTCAAAATCTAATTAATGTTCCTGTACTTAAAAAGAATATGAATGCCTGGAGGTGATGAAGAACACATAAGAAACTTGCTTGTTTGTAAAATTGCTGGTGTGGATGGCAACTGCCACTGAGCCCTTCCTTAGGAGGTGACACCTGCTGCAGAAGCTGCTCGGTGCGAGGCTGTGGGCACTGGGCTCAACCCCTCTTTCAAGTCCTGCAAGAAAACAGCTGTTGGCTCCTGGCCCACCTTCCCTGTGGACAGTCATCGCCGTCATTAAACACCTTCTCTTTGTTTGGTATGGCCATGCAGTGTCGGCTTCGCTGTTTAGGAAGTACTTGTAGCTGACGATGTAGGAAAGGGCCAGCTCCTCTTTGTGCAAAAACAAAGACTCGGCCGACTAGGTTGAGCTTGAGGACACTGCTGGGGCTCTTACGGCGCTTTCACAGCTGCACTGTGCATGGCCTGGGCAATAACAGAGGAAATGAATTTATAATGCAACAATCTCTTCATTTTCACAAGCACAAAAATTCCCCTAAATACTTAAAATAACACTCAGAGTGGGACAGACCTTAAATTTTGAATAAATGAAACCCTAATCCACTGTGTTGCTGAAACAAGCTTGTTATTAAAGAAATAAATTTGAAACAGCAAGTGGTTTGAGAATTTTGGATTTAATTATTTAAATCTGCTTAAGATAACTCTCTAGCACTGTGCTTGGGTTTCCTGTTGAGAGCGTGTTTTCCAGTAAAGGTATTCCACCCAGTGCCTTGGAAATATTACTTTCTCATGCAACAGTGGTTTAAGCAGTAGAGATGAATAATTATGACTATAATAAGGCAAGATATTATATGGAAACTTGGTGGTATTTCTTGGGTGCAGCCTGTCATGAAAACTGCACAGAGCCAATTGTGTTTGGAGAGATCACCACTCTCCTTGGCTAAATGGCAGGTGGAATGTGGCTCCAAATGCTTTTCAGGTAAGAGAAAAAGTAATTCCCTTAGTTATATTACAGAGTCCACCATGACCAACAGTATGAACCAGCAGGTTTGCAATTTTAAGCTAATTTGAAGTATTATATGTTACTTAATAGGTAAATATTGGGGATCAGACTTTGTTCATTGCTGATTAATTAAAAACTACTACTTCATCTTTAGGATGTAAGATTATCTCCTATCTCAGTATAGATCAAGAAGGTAAAATCTATCTTGTCTTTTGTAGAGCCATAACAGGACCTTCCTGGATTCTGAGTCTGCATTTAGGGTGAGAATAGAAGAAATGTATTCAAGGTGACCCTGATCTGCACAAGTGTTCAGCTTTCCAGCCAAAATTTTTGGGGACCAGAAAGAGGCAAGTCCAGACTTTCAATTAATCTTGCTTAACAGTTCAATTGCTACTCACAGGTCTAATGGTCAACAGAGCCATATCATCATCTGAATCCAACAGCACCAACCAACTTAAAAGCTGGTGCTTGGTTCAGCACTAGGTTCTCTAAAATTAACAACATGTGTAAGGATGGTGTTCAACCAAAACCCAAAAGACTTGCCTGGTTATTCTCATTCAAGCATGCTCACTGATAGTGATTATTAGCAATATCTTTTTTTATAAATGATTTTTATTTTCAAGAGAAGGTCCTAAAAATACTTTTTTCTTAAGCAATAATGTCTATGTTTATGTGTTACATGAGGCAGATGTTGGTTTAAAGCTTAATTCTCACTTAAGATATCTTTCAGTCCACGAAAGGGTTGATTAGTGTCCCCTAGCTGAACCATTTTTTCCCTCTGTTGCTTTGACCCATTGATTTAATTAAGGTCTAATAAAGAGAGGGCTGAAAGATTGTTAAAAATCCTTTTTTTTTCCCACAAATCTGACCTATGCTCGTCTGTCAGTGCATTTTTGACTCGCACATGCCCTCTTTAGTATGTAAGCATACTTATACAGAGTTTGTCTTCCTTAGAGCCAGTTGTTTTTTTCCCCTCAGTGATAGGTCAGATTTAATTTTGGTTTTAACCAAAGCAAATGCTTTTTTGGAGACCTTCTATTTTAGTGAAAATAAGTAATGAAAAAATAACCGAAACAAGTCACAGTATCAAAAGGAAAGACCTTAGAAAGCTTAGTGGTGACCCTTTCTTTTTCTGTTTCCTTTCCCATCCTCCTGTTGCCAGTGAAGAAGGAGAAATGAAAATTCGAGTTTGCTTTTCAATTAAGCAACAAGAATGACTCAAAGTTTATGAAACATGGAGGGTTTTCATTGAAAATGCTTGCTGCTTTTCAACTTTGTGTCTTGCCTAGGTTCACCCTACTCATCATATTGCCAACCTCCTGTTTTCCTTTCCCTTCTCCTCCTACCAGCTCTGCAGTTTACCACTCTAGGGTGAGAAGAGCTGTTCCCAGCATGCTAATTTTGCCACTGAGCAGGCTCATCTGTATCTTGTAAAAGGGAGATTACCACAAATGTGCACCCTCACCACACTCTGCTTCTGCGGTAGGAGAGGACTTCTGGCACTGGGGCTCCCAGTGCTGTCCCTGCTGTGCCAGGACCGCAATGACGGTCTTCAGAAGAATAAGGGGAAAAAAGCCCCAGCTGCAACTTCAAGGAATGGCTCAATGTGCTATTCATGGCTTGAAAGAACAGCATTGCTACCCATAGTGGCAGTTTGTGATTGTGAACCTTCTTAGATGGTTCTCATGCTCAGATTTCTGTGCTGCAGCTCATTAGCAGGAGAGCTGCCTGTGGGGCTGTGGCAGGTTTGCAGTACGACAGGATATGCACTAAAATAAAAATCTGGTTAGGGGTGGTGTGATTCCAGTGCTGGCTGGGCACTGGCAATTAAGCCTGCATGAAAATAAGACACCTGGACTTTGTAACTCTTGGGATGTGACATACCACTTGCTGAGGGCCATCACTGCCCAGGAAAGCACTAAAACAGGTGTATAAATCCTACTGTGTTCAGTGGGATTTAGGCACCTGCTTAAATTTAAGTGCTTGTTTAGAGAGTTTCCTGAATGAAAGCCTGACAATTGTGCCCAAGAGTAACTTTTGAATTAGTTTTAATTTGCTCATCATAACCAGCTGTCATGAGTCTATGTAAAAAGGGTTTGATTTTGGAAAGATGAAAGACTTCCCAGGTCCTTGGCTTTCATGTAAGCACCCTTCCTGGATGGCCAGCACCCTGCTCAGCTGAAGCAGCCCTGCTTTTATTCATCCTTGCTCTGTGGTCCCACTGGGGCTGTGGTGTTAGCTGAGCACTCTGCAAAGCAAACTGCCCTGCCAGCAACTGACATCACCTGACTGTGCCTCTCCAGCCATGTCCCATCTGAGCCAATCTGCAGGATGAAAACAGAGGGAGTCCACTCTGTATTTAGGAGGTGAGTGCAAATGAAAGTTACGGGACTGAGGGGGAGATTTGTGTGCAAATGGAAGAGTCAACTGAACCTCCCACCTGGAAACATAGCAGTCCTTTTGTGTCATAGGAATCAGAAAGCTTCAAGAGCTTCTTCTAGGATTTTTTTTCCCCTTTATAATCCCTTCTTTCTTACAATAGAGTTTGAGGGTAAACTTGAAAATAAATCTAGTGTTGCATTTACAGCAACCAGTCTCAAAGGGAAAACAAAATCCAACAAACTCAAATTACTACTTAATTCTGGATGTGCACATTTACGTGCATCATCTACTTAAGACAAGCAGAACTGTGTCCATGTAGCTGAGAGTTATTTTATTTTTTTCCTCAAATACACGGTTAATTAGTCAATGGATGATACCACTGTTGTGTAGCCCTCAGAAAGCCTAGATTTGCAATTAAAATATTTTAAAGGCATTTTTTTATAGAATCCTTAGGTAATTAAGCTGAAGTGCCTGTAGATTTTATATATAAATGTACTGGAGCAGTGGTAGCTAGTAGTTAAGGTCAGATAGAAACCAACCTTGCATTTAGAATCTTTTTTCCAGTACCTCAGTTGAAACCTCCCTAAATCTAAATTAATCTTCCAGAAAAGTATGGGGAATTTGGTTTATGAGGGGAAAAAAAGGTCTTGCATTATTACCATAGTCTATCAGTCTTCCCTCAGCGCGACTCCATTCATTTTGCAATATATGGCTGTTCAGCATTGCCACGGCTGAACTTCAGAAGACTTTTGCTGAAATAAAGCATATTATGGGAACAGTCACATTGGGGTGCCCGCACCAAGGCAGGAGCAGGAGCTCAGCTCTGACGGGCTGCAGCCCGGGCAGGCTGGGGGCAGATGTAGGGGAAGTCTTTGTGTGGGGGACTTGGGGACAGCACAGTGCTCAAGACAGCTGTGACAAAACTGGGAGCAAACCTGGCTCTGCTGCTGTGTCCTGCTGCAGTGCTGCTGTGGCCCATTTCACTCCACAAAAACCTCTGCTTGGGCTACAGCTTCCCTCTTTGCCCCTCGAAGCTGTTCCCTTCCTTGCAGTCTTGGTTCCTCTCCTCCTTGCCAAGTACATTGACTCCAGCCTGATCTGAAAATTAATTTTAACAAATAAGATCTTGGGCCAAGCCAAGTTAGGATCTGGAGATAGGACACACCACAGAAAGGGAGCAGGGTGGGGGGTGTAAGGGAGCATGAACACTCAGCCTTGTAATATGTGTGAGAACTGATGCTCTCTGAGCAATCGAGTGCTTATTATTATTTCTCTTGGATAGGTCACCTGGGAGTGGAGGAATTTTTCATTTTAAATTAAAAAGAAATCTTTTATAATGCTCATTTCTGAAAGGAAAAAAAAAACCACCAACCTCATCATGGAAGCAATTAGATGGAGGACACATTGAAAGGAGTGATTAGTTGTTAATTTTTGAGCTGTTGGCCCTGACAGAGGGGTTTTTTGTCAGGGATTTTTTTTAAAGGTGTCTTTCATATGCCTATAGTCCAAGGTTACTTCTCATTCAATAGCAATTACCATATGTCCATTACATGCTAGAGACTGCTTGAGGAGGATGCAGTGGTCCCCATCAGGGCACGTGTCAAGTTGAAATGCCAGCAGCCATGTGAGCCACGGGATAATTGTTCCTATCTGTTTCTTCTCTTTGCCGAATCCCAGTAAATGTTCTAGGGAGTAACTTCCCCCTTCCTTGATGCAACCTTAAAATGCAGCCCTCTGGTTTGCATTTCAGGTTCCAAGTCAGCCGTGTCAAGATTTGAACAAGAATCAAGGAGGATAATAGGTCAGATGTAATTAAGAGGTAAAACTACTGGTGAAATAGGTTTTCTTTCTTTCTGCCCATCAGATTACAAACCTCAGTCCCACCACCACTTAAAAAACCTAATCTGTAATTGTGAACCCTGGATAACTGCTCTATTGTATCAGATGAAAACCAACTAACCGGATACCACAACACAAAAAAATACACACACAGAAAAATATGGAGCTGAAAACACAGAAAAAATGCAGTCTTGTTAAAATGTGGACATGGTCCAGTAATGGAATGAGTAGGGAAACTTGAATGGATCAGAGTCAAAAAACACTCTGCTTAATTCTTGGGGTTTTTTATTCGCCATTCAGCTTACATCAGTGTTAACATCTACTGAGAAATGCAGCCATTTACAATTTGCAGTTCAATGTGTTACTTTAATTAGTATGAAAATTAAAGGGCAACTATAGGCCAATGTGAATAATTATGGAAATACATGTGCATCACATGCTATGCTCTCATTTAATTAATCGTCTTGTAAACTATATCAAGCACTTTAAGTCAGTTGCTGAGTATAACAACTCTATTTTAAATAACCACTTAATACTTAACAGGATGTGGAGAAAACACTAGCACACGACTGCTTCTCAAGTTTCAGTGTCTGAGATTTTTTTAAAGCTGACCCAAGTCAACCCAAAGAATGTTTAACACCCTGTGTCTGCACACAAGAAAGTCTGTGATGTACAGACATTCAATTACATTTTTTAAAAAGTGAGAAACATTTTGTAAAATAGTAACTTTAGAAAACTAATTGGCAGCAGCAAACTTGAGAGTGAAGGCCAAAGCTAGAGGGGACCTTTTACTACAGTGACTCTAGTCAAGGAAAATGAAAATAAAGGCATCTTTGTTTCTCAGTCAAATTAGCTGATTAAGAAATAAGACATTTGAACATGCTTTAAATGCAGCATTAATTATTTATATGAAAAAAAATTAAAGCCAGGTTCCATGAATTACACTTTGTGTCTGTGAATTGAATGTTACGGGAATAGTAATCCTTTTACATTCATGACTTACTTCATTAGGCAAAACTAAATATTAAGGGCTCTATTCATTCAAAAAATTCTTATGCATTCAAGTCACACCTTTTCTATGGCCATTTTTTTTTTGAGTGCAGTTTAGAGCACTGATTTTTAAATATGATTCAGAAAAAGCAATCTACTTCTAAAGCCCTAGGATGGGCTCTAGTAAACAAAAGTATTTAGAAAAGGACAAGGATACAGTGGTGAGTTTTGTTTGTCATTGGTGAAAAGGTCCAGAATAAGTCATATTGTAGGGTCTCAAAG